TCAGTCTTGGCGCCTTAGATTCTCTTTCGACAGTGCCAATATGTTGATGGCACGTAGTCAACCTGCCATGGATCTTTTCTTGGAGCGCCTGTACATAAATACCGAATGTGTCAAACGAAACCATCCATGCAGGATTGTCGATAAATATTAGTCACCTTACGCTAGGCATCCAAAGGCTATACCACTCACCATATCTCTCCACAAAATCCACTTCTATTTTCTATCTTTGTTCCAAGGGAATTGGAACGTTTTTTCCCGTTTGGCACTATTTTCGACAGCTGCATAGCCAACTATGATTGTGCAAATGACAAGATTTCAACACAGTTGAAAGAAAAGCCCTGTCTACGTCTCCAAAAGCGTGGCCAGCAAACGTGCCACGGATATCTTTAACTAGGAGCCGATGCAGATGGCAAATCTCATGAGTCTTTGTGGGTTTATGCCTCACCTATTTTATCAAGGAAACATCACCATTTATCTCCCCGAACACAGCAGCAATGCACTTCTTCTTGGAGAAGGTTCACTTGACTTTCTTTGCGCTCATTGGAATGCTTCCACTGTTAGTATTGCACCTTCAGTTCTGGAGTACATCATGGTAGTGCCAGAGAAATGTCAAAATGGCACCCGTTTATCGTTTTGTTTTCATGACCAGTCAGCATTTTAGGAACTGACTGCACGCAGTTTGCCGCACTAGAGTCTCACTCTGTGTCCAACCATGGTATACCATCTGTGCTGTATTGAGCTGACTGCAATATTTTGGGAAATGAATTACTCAGCCCAAAAATTCTGACCCAATCATTTTCCCAAATTATCTGATCCGTTCAGTCAACAAAATCATTGTTTTACACTTGCTTCATTCCCAGTCAGTTTGCATTGTAAATATTGTGCATCATGCTTCTAATTTCCTACACTATTGCAGTCCCTTGCTGTCATGTATTGAAAGTAGTGCTGTACACATTGCTCAATATTCGATGAATTTCAGCTGCACTGCACTGCTCAGCACCCTGAAATCGAATTCTAGCACACACTTCACACTTATCCGAGGCATGCCTACATGGGTTCTTTGCGTCAAGAACTGAAAGCTGTGACCTCATAAGATGGACAGGAACACTAAAGAAATTGTACAACACATATGCGTTGCATCATGAAATTTTAATTGCTTTTTATTCGGGGGCCATTTTGACTGAAAAATATAGGCATTGTATTTTATGAGCTGAAATGTATCTCAGGAGTGTCAACATGCCAAAGCAAGCTTCTCAAGTTACACTCATGCTGACTGTATGTTTGTTACAATCATGAAGCAATTAATTTTGTAATGATTTGCATAAATTCATGTGGCTAAATCACTGCATAAACATCAGTCTGCAAATGTGATGTACAATTATTGCATAGTTATAAATTAAGGAGCACATGCAGCTGTTGCGGTCAGCAACACAGCAGACAGTATGATATTCAAGTGAATATTCATGGCGACCATGAAGTAATATATGACTTAGTAAGGTAGTTACTGCAACTCTAGTCTTGAGGTACGCGTTACTGGAAAGTACAGACTTTGTAGTATGTTTGTTTATCGAAAAATTCTCAGCAAGTGCTCCTGGAGAGGGAATGATAATTCAACAAGGTTTGAAGAGTAGGCCCTTGCTCAGTCATCGGTCAATAATTAACGTGGAAGTGAAAGAATCACTGAGAATAAAAAATGCACATCTGTGCGTCTACTTAAGCACTTTCTTGAATGCCCATGCATACACGGCTTTATTTCGCATTCACTCGGCAAATAGAAACAGTGAAGATGGTGGTAGAGGAGAAGAGGCTACTTATTTAGCACCTCTTGAAGAAAGTAGGGAGGTGCTTGCTCTGTTAGGAGTGCTTACTCTGGATTTTATGGCATTAAGAGCGTCTCTACTGAGTGGTAATATTTTAAGTTTATATATACACCCCAAGACCCCCCCCCCACCCCACCCCTCCAAAAAAAAAAAAGTCGCAGAAGGCAGCGATTCAAGAAAGAAAAAGAGCCCTGTAGGATGGCTCTGGCAATTAGAAGCTTGTTTGATTGAGCCTCCTCCAGAAAGAGAAAATTTTTACAATGGAACGAGTGGATTGAGCAACAAATAGAGGCTTTGGAGGAAAGGAATAGCAGACTTCAGAACCCCTCTCAGCCATAGGTCGGCAAACTCCCTCACAATCCGAGTCACTCAAACTCGTATTGGGCCATAAATGAGAATCTGAATGAGCCATATGTGCAAATACATTTTGTGATTGAGTGAGCTTCACATTTTTTTTTGGTCGGCCTGTGCTTTCAACACACCTTCGACAATTTAAAGATAGAATTTTCGGTGAGCCTGTAGTTTGCGCTCTCTTCTTTTTCATTCATCTATAGTTAACACTGGCCCATCTGCCCTAAGTAGGTATGGCCGAAGCTAAAAGGAACATTTTACTTTACCCCTGTATGGTAATCAACAAAATTTTTGGTGTGTTTACGAAACAAATGTGAGTCCAGCTTCTTGTCCCCTCTCATTGTTTTCAGCATGACATTATATCTCGCCTAGTACCTAGTCTATTGGTGGCCATAATGCATTGATGTTGTATCTATTTATCACTTTCTTTAGCCCCTGAGCTATGTTGTGAATGTAAGGACTACCCATGACACACCCGTTACATGCTACGCTTCTCGCTTATTATGTTCACAGAAGTCCAACATAAATCTCTACCAACAAGCTCAGCTGTCCATAACTCCAAGTTGCAAATTTCTATAATGTAGTGAACATTCTTTTTCATGATTTCTTAATACCTATTATCTGTCACCCCCTAGGTTTCAGTCATATCCTCCAGGTCAGGCACCTTCGGCAGAAACACTGCAGCTGCTGCTACCACCACCACGGCCTATATTTCACTTCAGCCATTGCTGCATCACAACCAGTATTACAACTTTTGAGCCGCTACCACAGTCCTTCCCAATGATGCCTCACCTTGACAGGGCTTCACATGCTTCCAAAGGAAGCTATCAGGCAAGTGTGTACTGTTAAGAAATTTAGCTTTCAATAGCATTGATGTTTTCGATGGGCAGATAAATTGACAAGTCTGCCAACTTCATGCTTCTTGAACAGGGTTGAAACTACGTGTGTCTGTCAGTGCAGGGAACCAAGTTTATGTGAATTTCAAAGTAGCTTATTTTTATTTTATTTTACAATACTGCAGGCCCCTTCTCGGGCCCATGCAGGAATGGGTTGAACTTGAATACACAAAAGTGTGAGGAAAATAAATAGAACTTATGTACAAAGCAATTAAGAGCAAGAAATATGCAAATTGTAATACAAGGTGTTCACATAAGTTCTGAATTCTGTTTATAAATTTGACAGAAGAGGAGTTCACAATATCAGCGGGCAGCATATTCGATTGCTAAATGGTGTGCAGAACTAAATAGTATTTGTAAGGGTTCTGTTATTAATTTTGTGTATGAAGGAAGCAGGGCAAGCAAAAATTAGAAAAAAGTACTTTTTCATTGTTTACTAGATATGAAAGCAGATTCTTTTTCCACAATTTTCGTGTACTGTGCAATCCTGAGCAAGTGCTCCCACTATGGTGAAGGTGACGAGAATTTGAGGGGGGGGGGGTTCTTGCTCGGTCTTGCATCAAAAATCAAGATTGTGGTGAAAAAGTCGCATGTGCTTCCAACGAAACTGATACACTTTAATAAATATGCATGAATTCACTATGATTCTGCTACTTTGTTGCGCTTCTAAATAAAGAAAGTGAAGGAAACTGCAGAAATGGCAGAAAGGCGGGGGGGGGGGGGGAGTGCTTGCTCAGTTGTTCATGCATGTTTTAAATATCTTGAAAGAGAGAGGATGGAACTCGCTTAGGTGGGGGCGCTTGCTTGAGATATTATAGTATTGTCCTCATCCTGCGCATCTTTTTTTAATCAACTGAAAAAAGCGACCTGAAAGCAAATGGCCCTTTTACATATGGTATATTCGTAGCTTATTTTCTTTGCAAATTGACGAAAAGCATGAAGTTTAGCATTTTTTAGCGAAAAGAAAAAGCTGTCCAACTAGTAATGTTTACGCATTTACCGAAGTCAGACACAGTGAAATAGATAAGGTGGCACAGTAAAAAAAATAGGTCAGCACAGAAAAAACTGCAATTTTCATTGCGTAAGTAGAGCTCCATCTTCTCGAAATGGCATTTTTCGTCATGTCAGTATGATAATTTCGAAATGGCAAAAGATGTCATGCTGATTGTTTGTGCACATACTCAAGCAACACATGGTGGTGTACTGAACTGAACTTGATCCTTTAGAATAACTTTCATTTGATCTAAAAGAAAGTGTGCAAAATGTCCAAAATCATGTACAGGAGTAAAAAATGCAATTTTTTAAATAAAATAAACTATTCTTTGGTTCGGTCAATAGAAGACAAGGCTCTGAACAAATTAGTATAAACTTCTGGTTGCTATCATTATTACATGCTTAAAAATGATGACAATAGGGTAAAAAATACGTGGAAGTCTGGGACTTGCCGGTCTTCTCTAATCGACACAGTGCTCTGAAATAAGGCAGTGTTTACAAACACCCGCAGGGCTCTCTTATTCAATAATGGCAAAGTAGATACATGGTGCAGAAAAGTTATTGTTGCTACTCCTTAATTGGAGGCAGTAACCGGGTAGACTCCAATGGCTGACTTAACAGCCCCCAAAATGCACTGCTAAAGCTTGAACAGTTTAACATAACCATGAACTTAGTTTTAAGTGGGATTAAAATTTGGTTGTTTTAATAACACAATGTAGAACACTGATCAGTTCGTTGTGCAGCTCAGTGATTGGGCTTTTAACAATTTATGGAGCATAAGCTGGAAAAACAATAGGGATAAAAGTTTCAGCAGCTGTTATTGGGCTGAACAAAGCACAAATGAGGGCTGATAGTTATGTTGTGTCTGAAAATAAAAAAAAGTTTTGGAAATGATGTTTAACATTCATACCTGGAAGCCATGCTGGCATATGTGTGCCTAATATTTTTTATAGCTGATCGACTTTTCCTTTGTTCTGCCTTTTAGGGTTTGGGTGCCAGTGATGAACTGCCGCTGTTTTTCCAGGTGGACAATCAAGTAAGTAGCTTTACAGTAGCTTGGATAGTTAGGCTAGTTGGTATTCGTTCATCTTTTAACGGAATAAGGACACATACAGACACTTGAACATTGCTTATGCTGTGTGCATTTTCTTCTTCTAGTGTCCGTCTCTGTGTGCATGCCCTTATTCAGTTAAACGATGAAGTAGCTCTACTTTTTGTGAATTTATGTTTATTCAGTGCAATACTTTCACTACTGGGTTGAATACATAGTTATGCAACTTGCATTGCACTTTCACTTCTTTGTATGTTTATGCTTAGTTTATTCATCTACTACGGATAATTTTGTAAATTATGAACTGGTGAATTTAGACATTTAGGAGGTTATTTCACGAAGGATCAGTGCAATCATCTGCATTACCCTTTTTTGGAATGTCACGGCATTCAGTAAAAGCTTCATAAATATTTTTGTGACAAGTCTTAATGTTAGAAAAAAGGGGAATGAATTGAGGCTCTGTCTTTTTGATTCCTGAGTTCCTCATTATTGGAATTGACAAAAGAAATTTTTATCTGCAATGTGCCAGAGCACTTTTTGTCAGTGCCAGCTCTAAGTGCCTTTTAGGGTGTCTGGTGGTCTTTAGTAGAATATTATGGACTCAACATTACTAACAACTGTAACACAACTGTAAGATATGTTACATAGTTGTTAATTTAACTTTCACACATATCTAGAGCACTCAAAATTGTAAATATGCTTTTTTCTTAAAATGTCTTACAGCTTCTCACAAACTGTTCAGGTGAGACTTAAAGACAGCAATGATGTATTTGATTTGCTTTTCATTGATCATTGAAACGAATGCTTTTTTGTTTCGCTGGAGCCACTATAATGTAAAATTTCTAAATAGGGATTGTGTTGATGTTTTTCTAACTTACTATGCCACCCCACTTTTTGCCCAGTCTTTTAGTATTTAAAAATTAATGATTCTCCTTGTGAAGGCTGGTGTAGTATTGCCATTAATGAGCACTATATGCACCTGTAGACTTACATACATTCTGTGAACTGTACTTGCTTTAGAAAAAGAATATTTGGATAACGTTTAGTATGCCAGTATAATACAAGATGGCATGCAGTTGCAGAAGTGAATTGTAAGATTCATCAGAACTATTTGAATACATACCAGCAAAACTATACTCGCACGACCAAAGAGCGCAAATAACATTTTCAAAAACAAGATATCTCTTGAGTCTTTTATTATGATTCCACATTTTTTCGCGCAGATTCACCTAGGAAACGGCATATTCCTGGAGCAGGAAAAATGGGCATGGCTGCTTTCGCGTCCGAGAGACAGCTTGTTCTGTAAGGAGGCGACCAAGCTTCTGTGGGGTGTGAGTGCCCTCCACAACAGGAGCATCACAGGAGCCCCTTGTCGGCGCTATGTGCGCTCAGAAAACCAGGCACCACCCAGGAGGGCACTCACGCCTAAGAAATTGGAGGCAGTCGGAAGTAAGTGTTTCATGCTTAGTATATTTTGCTGAATTTAGGGACAATAAAATTTATCATTTATATGAACCAGTAAGTCCCTAATTGCTACATATTCCTGCTCATTTTTACAGATGCCTTCAGCAAGTACATTGCTGGGACACCAAGTGAAGCGGCACCTATAGATAGGTTAAGAAAAATGAACAGATACATTGCCGAAATGTTGAACGACCTAAATAAATGAGTCGTCAAAACATTACTCTAGCCTGATCGTGTTTATTTGATATCATTGCAGCATACCTACATTACATTGTTTATTTTTACTGTGTGCTTCATGAACTAGCATGCCTTTCTTAATACATTCTTTTACTGTATGTTAATTTTGACCCAAATAGCTAATCCAACCCATATCACCTGCATAACCTGTAATACCCATACATTCGTTACACTTATACCACCTTTATGAGCCTTACCACCTGTATGACCCGCACCACCCGTATGACCCGTACCACCCGCATGACCCGTACCACCCGTACCACCCGCATGACCCGTGACACCTGTATGCCCCGTATCCAATAACATCGTATGTGCAGGTCCTGTACATGTGGGAATTTTCAGTAGGGGGGCCAGTGGTAACCAGATAATAATAGAATACAAGGCAGCAATAACTGCAGGTCACCAAATATTCTATCTTTATATTGTCTAAGGTGGGTCGAATGCACAGGCTGGCAACAAAAACAACTGTGAAGCTCACTCATTCACAAATTGAATTTACCCATATGGCTAAATCAGATCCTCAGTGTTAACCAGAGAATAATGAAATATGAGAGAGCGCAGGCTTGCCAAATATTTCATTTTTAAATTGTCCAAAGTAGTTCAAAAGCACAGGCAGGCAAAAAAAGTGAAGCTCACTCAATCAAAAAATGCATTTGCACATATGGCTCATTCAGATTCTCATTCACGGCCGAATCAGAGTTGGATTGACTTGCCTTGTGAGGGAGTTTGCCGACCTATGTCTGAAAGTGATTCTGAAGCCTGCCATTTCTTTCCCCCAAAGCCTCTATTTGTTGCTCAAGCCACTCGTTCTGCCTTCACAGCTCCTTTGTAATAATTTTATATTTTTTCTCAAGAAGGCTCAATCAAACAAGCTTCTAATTGGCAGAGCTATTCCTGAGGGCTCTTTTTCTTTATTGAGTTGCTGCCTTCTGCGACTTTTTTAGGGGGGGAAGAGGCTTAAGAGTGCATATAAGAAACAAAATATTACCACTCAATACAGAGGCTCTAAATGCCTTAAAACCCAAAGTAAGCACTCCAAACAGCGCAAGCACGCCCCTACCTTCTTCGAGAGGTTTAAATAAGCTACCTCTTCTCCTCTACCAATATTTCCACTCTCCCCGCAGAGGATACTGCGTAAGTAGGCATTTGGTGTGTGGCGACATCACAGACCCGAGCTAACGGAAGGGTTTTGAGTCCCTCCCACGCCTAGCCGTGCGTGGCTTTGCCATGTCCGAGAAAAAGGGTGTCCTGGAGATTTAGCCGACTTCGGGTGATTGGACCTTCAAGGCTGAAATGTCGGTAAGGCCGAGGCAGCACACCCCGTTGGCTCCAGCTTCACGTAGACAGAACCCGTGGGCTGACCCGCCAGGAAAATTAACAGTCGCCTTTTCCTATCTCTCTCTCTACATCTTCGTCTTTGTCTCTCAATTTTATCTGTCCTGTCGTCATCTCTTTTCCGTTTTCTTACTATTTTTCTGGCGGCAAGGTTCAACCCAGTGTAGGTACCCAACCTTGGGTAGTTATATTCGGTTAACGCGGCAATGCACGGCTGGCGTCTATAAGTGTTTATAACCAACGCTGTAGCGTCTCCTTTTTACGCTCGGTGGTGGGTGGCCACCATCGCCGCCGAATGTTACATTTCTTGTATTGCTTACTTTTTCCCGCACTCCCTGCTCATCACCCGAAAAAGTGGCACACCGAAGATAGCTTCACACTCCTGAACACAAAGCAGTTGTTCACAAAGTACCATGTCATGCACAGCCAAAAAGAAAACAAACCAGTTCAATCAATTTCACCTTTCCTCGTTTTGAAAACGCTCACGGAAGCCATTGTCCGAGGCTACAATGTAAAGAAGTCGGGAAGCGGCGACCTCCTGTTGGAGGTACGCAACAAGCTTCAATATGATAACTTACATAAACTTGAAGCATTTAGATACGTCATAGTCTCAGTAGGCCCCTACAGGTCTATGGTTACAGTACGCGGTGTGGTCTTATGATGACCTCCTCCAACTATCTGAAAGTGAATTATTAGAAGGCTGGCTAGACCAGAATGTACTGACGGTTCAAAGAATAGTGATATGACCAGAAAAAAAAGAAACACCAAGAAAACACATAATTATCACCTTTGGTACCAGCGACTTACCCGACTCAGTTTAAACCGGCTTCTGCAAGCTACGGGTCAGGCCCTACATAAAAAATCTTCGCATGTGTGTCAGTCGTCAGCGCTTCGGACACATGTCCTAAAGCTGCAGAGGGCGTGCAACTTGCCCAAATTGTAGCTCCAACGAACATGTATCGGAAGAATGTACAGGAGCAGCCCACTAAGCGAACTGCGAAGGCGACCATCCCGCCTACTCGCGATCGTGCCCATTTTGGAAAAAAAAGGAAAACAAATCCTGAAGCTTAAAGTTAAATTCAATCTATCCTTTCAACATGCACGCAAGCGCTTTGCACTCCATCAGCCCATTCTCTCCTTTGCCGATGGTGTCGCGCACGGACACCACACCACACGTTTCTGCGGCCGCAAGTTTCACTCAGAGTGTGAGCGCAGTCGCGCCATCAGTGCCCCCGGTCGAATCATCCTGTACTGCTTTGCCACCTAACAAACAGGGCCAGCAGACTCCCGTGTCTTCCAGGCCCCGGGCTTCTGCAAGCGCAGTTAGGCCCGAAACCACTGCAAACATGCCTGCTGGGCAGGCACCATTCGCCACCTCACAGGACGTGATGGATACAAGTCCCACTCCTCTGGCCCCTCACGCGCCGAAGGATAGGCGCAACTCTTTGTAGCACCACAAAAAAAGACGAATTACAGGGCTTCCGAGAGGCCCTTTAATCTAATGCAACACTTTCGTACACAGAGCACCACACAAAAATAAAATCCACACCACAAACTTGCGGACCACCAGGCAAACGACGAGTCTCATGGGGCAATACTGCGTGTCGTATTGCACGAAAAAAAAATAAAATATGGCATGGAAGTTGCTTGAGGATTCACCGACGTCAGAGGATCTTATAAACTTTAAAAAACATCGAGTCACAAGGCAGGAGAACGTGCCGACAGGCGATAAGAAAAGTTGGCACAATTTTTTATCGGGAATCAATTCATACGCAGAAGAGGCGAGAGTATGGAACATGGTTGGTAAGGTGGCAGGCAGACAAGCACACTCACTTCCTCTAGAGAGTTTGGAAGACCAGGCAAACACTTTGAGTTGCATTTTGAACAGGTTTTCTGCTCACTTCATTACAGTTCAGCGTTCCAAAAATACAAAGCAAGAATAAAAAAACAGAAAATAATACGCAAATTCACAAACAATAAGGCTTGCAATGAACCTATCGTCTTAGCTGAGCTACAAGCATCTAAACTGCTGTAACAGAACTGCCCTAGGCTCCGAGCGTATAATAACGAAATACTCAAACGCCTGCCTCCTGAAACCAAGAAAGCTCTTCTTTCTTTGTATATTGCCATTTGGTTTTCCGGTGAACTCCCTTCCGCTTGAAAAAAAAACAGTCATTTTCAGATTTTCAAACAGGGCAAGGACCCATGCTCAGCATCAAGCTACAAACCCACAGCATTGAGAAATGCCTTTGAAAGGTTTTTAAAAAAATGGTAAACAGATGATTGACGCAATTCCTTCCAATAAATAACCTGCATGACCCATGCCATTGCGGGTTTCGAGAGGCTAAGTCGACTACTGATCACCTTGTCCGTATCGGGGCACGAATTCAAGATGCTTTCATTCATAAAAAATTCTTTCTATCTGTGTTCCTCGATATAGAGAAGGCCTATGATAATACGTGGCGCTTTGGCATACTCTGAGACTTGTCACATTTAGGTGTGCAGGGTAGACTGTTCGCAATATTCGAAGATTAATTCTCCAACGGGGCATTCCGTGTCCGAGTTGGCACTGTCTTATCACAAATATTTGTTTACGAAACAGGAGTGCGACAAAGAGGTGCATTTGCACACTTTTCATAGTCAAAATGAACTTCTTACGCTTGTCTCTCCCACGCAGTATCTTTTACTGCACATATGTTGATGACGCTCAGGTTGGTGTCAAATCCCGCAGCCGATCAATGTGTGAACGTCTGCTTCAACAAGGCTTGAACAAGGTTTTTCAGTGGGCAGGTGAGAATGGCTTTAAGCTCAATGCGCGAAAGTCCACTTGCGTTTTGTTCTAACTAAAGAGGGGCTTCTATTCCGACCCCAACATTGACCTGCATGGTGAACGTCTTTCTGTGAAGACCATACATACGTTACTGGGCCTTATATTAGACACAACAGTAACCTTCATCCCACACATCAAGTTTTTAAACGACAAGTGCGTAAAACCATGAATATTTTGAAAGTTCTGTCGCGAACTACGTGAGGCAGTGACAGCAAATGTCTGATAGACTATAACCCTGTAATCTAGACGCGTGGTTACGAGATTTTCATAGAAATTCATTAGTCTGCGACACCTTAAGCCTTAAGCGTTCTCGACCCTGTCCACCAGCAAGGCATTCGCCTCTCTACGGGTGCTTTTTAACTAGCCCTGTAGAGAGTCTCTACGTAGAATCAAATAAATGGTCACTCCAATAGCAGAGATGCCACATGTCTGTTAGATACTATCTCAAGTTTAACGCATACGAGGAACATCCAACTAACTCCACAATTAATGATATGTCCAATTTTACCTTGTTCAATAACCGTCCAGCCCTACTCACTCCGTGTCAAGAGGCTTGCTGAGGAAACAGCTGTGCCACTTGAAGAACACCGTTTGATGGCTCAAGCACTATATGCACCACCGTGGAAATGGTAAGTTATAAACTGCGATCAGTATTTCGTGGAAGTCACTAAACACGCGCCTACTGCACAGATCCGCACGCACTTTCTCGAGCTCCAGCACAATTACACTT